GGGGTGTAGAACACGGCCGGAGGGAAACGTGACGGCATCTTGGAGTTCAGACCAATCTTGACTCTTGTCTGGATCTTGGTCTCGCACTTTACAATGGTGTCGAGCAGGGTGACGGTGGAGACAGCCGCCTCACGGTAGTAGGTGAAGAGCGCGATCAAAGCGGTGTTCCATTTGTTGGCAATCTTCGTGAATGTTGTTGAACCAGAAGACATGAGAATCTGACGAATGCGGTTGTTGAACTTTTGGATGTCTTCCTCCGTGACTTGGAGGAACGCGTGCGCCGTCCTCTCCTTGGTGGTGTTGTCCACGAGAGACCACACACTGTCCTTGACTGAAAAGTCGTCATTTTGATTGCGGCACTTCGGCAAAATGCGCACTTCGAAACCACACATGGAGAACAGCAGGTTCGGGTTGTCACGACTGTAGACGCTGGCGAAACTGTCGTCCCATTCGATGGTGGTGACGGAACGGGGCAGGCGGTTCTTGAGATCCCAGAAGACGGCCCTGCCAAGGTTGACGTCGTGTCTCATGAGACGCATACGAGAGTCTCGCGGCCAGCATTTCTTGCTCTTGTAACCAATGACGTTCTCAAAGTTGGGGTCAGGCTGCTCGGTGAGGAATCGTTGAATGAGGTCGCGAGACTCGTCAGCGGTGAAACGCAGGAAGACCCAGATCTTGTCAATGTAACGGGTGTACAGACGGATCGGGTGCCTGGTCTCAGTCTCCTTGTCACGGAATTGAAGGAAGTCGTTAGGGCTTTGCGGCGGACCGGCAATCTCACTAGCGCGCTGGGGACCGAGGAGGAGCAGGTCGAGGACAAGGCCGTAGTACTGGAACACGAACGCCGAGAACTGTAGACCACGAATCATACCGTAGCTGTTGACGTGGTTCATGTCCTTGTACGTCAATTGGACGTTGTTCTTCGCCGTGATGTAGTCTGCCAAGTTATGGTCCATGATCAGGCGGAGCAGCGAGTTGAGCAAGGTCAGCTCGATCTTCTCGTAAACCTTGGACAATTCTGTCTCAATCATAACGTTGCACTCTCCGTTCTCGGTTTCCCAGACCTTGTCCAGGTTGTTGATACCCTGAGCCCACTTGTACGTCAGAAGAGGCGGCACCTCAGAGTCGGAAGGCTTGATCCAGGCAGGGAACAAGTGGCGCTGATCGGCCTGGTACCACAGGTACTGGTCGAGGTAGGCGTCGCTGATCTTCTCGATAGGCTCGATATCGTAAACCGGATTGATGGTGCTGTAGTTGTCGTTCATGTCGATACCAACTTCCTTGAAGGCACGCTGCGTAAGCAGGAAACGCTTGATTCGCTCCAGCGTAGTACCAGGGCTGTCGTATGCCTGCTCGATAAGGGCCAGTTCCTCACGCTGGCTCTGGTTGAGACGTCCCTTGACTGAGTACGCCTCTCGCAAGCGCTCCAAAGCGAGGATGAGAATCTTGGTGTCGTGCTTGTATGACACAGAGGGGAAAGGAATTGGAGAGAACTTGCGAGACTCCAGCCAGTGAACCGTGGTCGTGTAAATGGCAACGGCCTCCTCACTAGAGACATACGGGCCGTCCTTCATGTGGTTGTGCTGTCTCTCTTGCTCAGCCTTGAGCCAGAGTCGAGTGAGACGGCCAACGTTCTTCTTGGCGACGGTCTTATCGACGGTCGCACCGCGGCGAATACGCTCACGGTTGTAGTGTGCAACAGAAATCCACCAGTCAGCCTTGGCCTTGACGTAACGGAGAATGATGTTCTCGATGGGCGCGGGCAAGCCAGGCACCTTCCAGGGGATGTTACTCTTCCAGCATCTCCAGGCCTCAGACAAGTGCTGGAGAACAGTGTTGACCTTGTTCTGCTTGATACCCTCAGGCATCATGTCCATCAAATCGGCCATGACGGAGGCACGCAGCTCGAGATCGAAGTGCGACTCGACACGCTGCTTTGTGACCGTTTTAGCAACGCCCTTGCTGTGACGTCCCTCGAATTGACGGGACAACAAGTTACCCAACCATCTCTCGAGAAGAGGAATGATACCGCGCATGAAGAAAAGCCAGACTCTCCAGGCGGGAGCCCAGAAACCACAACCGGGACCCTTGCCAACGGGCGCGGAGTTGAAGCGGTAGTAAATTAAGTGCTTCAAGTCCTTGCACGAACGAATCTGGTGCATGAGCTTGTACTTGTAACGGTACATACCAGTCAACTGACCGACATGGTTGAAGGCATACAGGATACCATCAGCTAGCTGGAAGGCATCAATGTTGCCCAGACGGTATTGTACCTGAGCATCGACGATGAGCTTCGTCAAGCGCAGAATTTCACGCATAAGATGGAATGCGTTTCCGAAACGAGACTTCTTTCGCTCCTTCGTGGTCAGGGTCTTCACAGGCTTCAGATTAAAGTTGTAGTCGAGATGAAGGTAGGTAAGGTTCTTGCGGTGAATGAGGAGGTTAAGCATGTTGAAACCTTGCCTGCAGACCTGGAGACCTGCTTCCACCCAATCAATGGTGGTCTGCTGGAAAAATTTCGTTTGCTTCAGGTTACGCATCAGATTCTGGTTCTGTTGCGCCTTGGGCTTCTTCTTGTGAAGCTCATTGAGAACAAAGTTCTTGAGCAGCTTCTGATAAGATACGCGGACCTTGACCGGAGGCTTGTCGGACGGAGGGTGTTCCAGGTACCACTGCTTGATGAGAGGGACATCTTGAGCGCGAACCATCTTGCCTGAGCGGCGGTCGAAGGGGAAAGGAGCCCACCACAGCTCAATAGCCGAAGCAGTGTCTTCGTTGGACAAGTCCTCCTCATCAAGGAAAGGCTCAAAGTCAGCGGGCAGCTCAAACGCCTCGTCCTCAGGCTCTTCGTTGCTGTCTGGACCAAAGATCTCATCCTCATGGCTCACAGTGAGGTTCTTAGGTGCGACTGCTCGGGAAGAAATGGGATGAATCCTCCGATCGAAGTGGAAGGCGGGGAGATCAGGGTTATCGGATCGCTCAAAGACAACCTGAGGATGCGAGTGCCACGCCAAGTGAACGCTTCGAGGAAGCGAGTTGTAGAGGTACGGGTAGGCCACACGGAATTCTGTTCGCATTGCGTTTCTGAAGATGATTCGGTCAATGGCGTTGAACTCTCCAAAGTCCTCGTCGTTGGGGTCGATATCCTTGTACAAAGGCTCGAAACGCGGACCACCGGGAAGCGCGACGTTGAGCGCCTTTCCGGTAAGGAAGCTCTTCCGATCAAAGAGATAGAAGTAGTTCTTGTCCACCACGTCCGAAATCAAAGGTCGACTCAGTCTGAACAGGGTAGCCATCTGTTGCAAGCTGAGGTTCCATGACCTGTAGCTGGGCCCGTTGACGTGGGGGGTATCGAGAAGTGGGCGGTGGTCGTAGAACCATTCGTACACGGCCGCGTCTTCGTCCTCGTTGAGTTCCATCTGAATCGGCTCGAGAGGCTCGACATCCTCAATGTTTTCGGACCACGACAGGGGCGGCTCTTCGTCGTCAAAAGGAGGGAATCGCATGCGCTTGAACAGTTGTCTGTCGGCCTTTTCTTTCCTCATGAAGGTCCACATCATTGCCCACTGTGCGAAGAAGACGGGCTCGATGACTCTCGGGATCTCGTTGACAAGAGTCAGGCATCCATTGACATGGTACAGAACCTTGACTTCTCTCGCCGACTCCCAAGGCATGGGCATGTTTTCGAGCAGCTTCATGACGGCATGCGGCATGAACTTCAAGGCACCCAGATAACTGCGCTTGTCACTAGTATACTTCTTTTGCGACACATCGCCAATATCCTTGACGATCTTGCGCAGATGCTCTGGCGGCATGTCTGCCTTTTGTGTCTCGACGAATCCGCCCTTACGCTTCTCGCCGAAGCGGTTGCGCTGATCCCGCAGCCATTCCTTCTTCTTCTGGGCGAACTTCGCGATTTGGGGATCGGTCGGGGGGCGATAACCCGGCGGAGGGGGGGCCGGCGCGGCAGGAGGAGGAGGGAGCGATGAGGATGGCGGAGGAGGCGGCGGTGGAGGAGGGCCCCAGCCGGGGGGAGGAGGTGGTGGGAATGACATCTCGACTCGATGATAAGACTCGTCTCGCGTAGGTGTGATATCGTCAAAGTCGAGGAGTCGCAGTCGCGACTTTCAAGACGCGAAAGTCGTTTCAGGTGTCGCAGAGCAGTTGTACTCGATTCCGGGAACCGATCGAAGCTGCCTGCAGATAAAAAGTTGATCGACTGGTCCCGCAAAAGTTCACAGCGATGACCGGTGTCGCGATGGTGTTGAAATTAGGCGGTGTTTGATGAGTTCATCAATACAATGAACCTCGCCGCGCCAGCGAATTTTTTGGGTATGCAGCTCTCCCCCGGGGCGAAGAGAGAGAATTGCGCTAAGCCTGTTTAGGAGCGACTACCTCACGTGAGAGCGCGAGCTCCTGCAGCGGCGACGGCCACACTAAAGTCCGGCAGAAGCACCTGCCAGGTGGAAAACGGCGGGGTGTATCGGGCCAGGTTCAGGATTAGTGGAGCCATCAGTTTAAACCTGGAAGGTGGCGTGGGCTGGTGGCTTGACTTTTAACTGGGTGGTGGGTCGAGGCAGGAGTGACTGGCAGGCTTAGTCACCCCTCCACCACGGTGCACTCATCCAGCAGACTCGTATCTCCGTCGCGGCGGCGCACACAGTCACCAAAAGACAGCTTGGAGCCTGAAACTTTTTGAGGTGGAGTCATCACACTGCCACCTGCCAGCGTTGTGGTGTACCGCCGCTCACACCAACCCTTGCAGTCACCGCAAGTAGCCCACACCCCGCTGCCAGCTGCAACCCGGCTTGCCAGCTGTCTTTCGCTAAACCCCAAAATCCCCCACCAAAATTCAAATTTCTTTATCACAATTTGAGCCCCTCTCGAGGTTGACCCAGCTCGTGACAAGTCATCGACGACAACAACCTCCCGTCCACCCCCGCGCTTACAGTCGCATCACCAAACCCGTCGTACGAACGATCCGATAGCGATAGCCCAGCATGTCTCGCTTTTTCCGCGGCGGAGACGACAGCTCCACTGACTCTTCCTCTGACGAGGAGGAGCTCTACTCCGAGGAGGAGGAGGAAGAGGAGGAGCAGGGCCAGGAGGACTCTGATGAGGAGGAGGAGGACGATGACGACTCCGACGACTCCGACGACAGCGAGGGAGGTCAGAAGTCCGGCGCCAACCGTTTCTTGCGTGATGCTTCTTCGGAAAGCGAAGACAGCGACGATGAGGAGCGCGTAAAGGTCAAGAGTGCCAAGGACAAGCGCATCGAGGAGCTCGAGGCCACCATCAAGCTCATCGAGAACGGCCAGAAGAACGGCGACTGGGCCTCCATTTCCACAGGTGAGACGCGATGGGAAATTTGCGATGTCGGAGACCACGTGCTAACGTGATGATGCAGAGTTCGACAAGCTCAACCGCCAAGTCACAAAGCTACAGGATGCCGGCAAGACCCCCAAGGTCTACATCAAGACGATTGCCGAGTTGGAGGATTACATGAACGAGGCCGTCGCCAAGCAGAAGGTCACCCCCAAGAAGATGAACGCCACCGCCGCCCGTGGATTGAACGCCGTCAAGCAAAAGATCAAGAAGATCGTCAAGGACTTCCAGACCCAGGTCGATGCCTACCGCGCCGACAACGATGCCTTCATGGAGTCTGAGGAGGAGGAGGAGAAGCCCGCACCCAAGGCCAAGAAGACTGCCCGCTTCGTCGATACCCCCGAGGATGCCCCTGCCGGCGACGACGACGAGGGCTTCGCCACCGTCGGAAAGGGCGGTCGCACCCTGCAGTTCACCCCCGAGAGCATCTTCAAGCACCTCCGCAGCATCATGGAGACTCGCGGAAAGAAGAACACCGACAGACAAGAGCAGATCAAGATCATGGAGAAGCTCTACGAGATTGCCAACACCCCCTACCAGCAGATTCGCGTTCTCCTTACCCTGGTATCAACACGTTTCGACCTTGGTGCTGGTGGCGCTTCCTACATGCCCCTTGAGCACTGGAAGGCCGCTGAGAAGGAGCTGACTCTGCTCATCAACATTCTTGAGGCTAACACTGACTACGTCGTTGTCGAGAACGCTGAAGAGTGGGATGACGACGAGAAGCCCCCTGTCCTGGAGAAGGGCCAGAAGTACATCAAGGTCCCTGGATCCATTGTCTCCTACGTCGAGCGCCTGGACGACGAACTCACCCGCTCCCTCCAAAACATCGACCCCCACACTTCCGAATACATTGACCGCCTGACCGACGAGGGCGCCCTCTACAACACCGTCTTCCGCGGCCAGCTCTACTACGAGTACCTCCGCAAGGACGCCGACCTCGACATTCCCCAGGAGAGCATTAACCGCATCGTGACTCGCCGCCTCGAGCACGTCTACTTCAAGGTATGTTCAGGAAGCATAACTCATCATCATGCATTCACTAACCCAATTTCACAGCCCGCCCAGGTTGTCAAGATCCTTGAGGACAACTGCTGGAAGACGGTCAAGGACACCGTCGAGTCCACCATCACCCCTCGCTCCCAATCCCAGGACGCCGGAAACCTCGTCAACGTTCTCTGCAACTACCTGTTCAGCAACGCTGAGGGCATTCTCCGTGCCCGCGCCATGCTGTGCCAGATCTACTTCCTGGCCCTGCATGACGAGTACTACAAGGCTCGTGACATGATGCTCATGTCCCACTTGCAGGAGAACATCCCCAACTTCGACGTCACCTCCCAGATCCTCTACAACCGCACTCTCGTACAGGTCGGTCTCTGCGCCTTCCGCAAGGGTCTCGTCTACGATGCCCAGAACACCCTGCAGGAGATCTGCGGCAGTGGCCGCCAGAAGGAGCTGCTCGCTCAGGGCGTCATGATGCAGAGATACAACCAAGTCTCACCAGAGCAAGAAAAGCTGGAGAAGCAGCGCCAGCTCCCCTTCCACATGCATATCAACCTCGAGCTGCTCGAGTGCGTCTATCTCACCTGCAGCATGCTCCTCGAGATCCCCCTGCTGGCGCAGACCGGCTCCTCCCCCGACGTCAAGAAGCGCGTCATCAGCAAGACCTACCGCCGCATGCTCGAGTACCACGAGCGCCAGATCTTCACCGGACCCCCCGAGAACACAAGAGACCACGTCATGCAGGCCTCCAAGGCTCTCGCGGCCGGCGAGTGGAAGAAGTCGACCAACTTCATCCACAGCATCAAGATCTGGGACCTCATGCCCAACACGGAGGACATCAAGACGATGCTCTCTAAGCAGATCCAGGAGGAGGGTCTGCGGACGTACCTCTTCACGTACGCGCCCTTCTACGACACCCTGGCGGTCGAGACGCTCAGCAACATGTTCGAGCTGGACGCCAGCAAGGTCCTCGCGGTCGTCAGCAAGATGATCAGCCACGAGGAGCTCGCGGCCTCCCTGGACCAGGTCACGTCGACCGTCATCTTCCGTAAGGGCGTCGAGCTCAGCCGCCTGCAGAGCCTGGCCCTCGCGCTGTCGGACAAGGCCAGCGCGCTCATCGAGACCAACGAGCGCACACTGGAGCAGCGCACCCAGGGCTCGGCCAACGCGTTCGAGAGACAGGGCGGCCGCGGAGGTCGCGGCGGCGGCAGGGGTGGCGCGCGGAGAGGCGGCGGCGGCGGCCCGAGGACGGGCGGCAACACCCAACGGCAGGCCGGCGGTACTCAGTTCACGGGCGGCGCGTTGGGTGCCGCGGTCCGGGGTTAAAGGGAAGAAATGGGGAAACGGGGAAACTTTTTCTCTCTCACGCTTGTATCTGCATTACGGTTGGTTGCTTTTAATTAAAATTACCGGCCGCGGGGTTCAGAAAGATCACGAGTCCTGGTTGGTAAGGTGTTTGTAGCTTCAGGGAATAGAAGCTGATAGAGTCATGATGTATATGACCCGTGTTTCTGTGACGTGCGTATGTACTATATGATGGTTCCGTTCGTGAGCTTTTGACTCTGATGTGGTGCTTCACGTGGCCTTTTCCGGCTGTAATCCAACTCTACCAGTTATCAGAGCATTCCGCCAAAAGCATCGAGCTTCTCTACTCCGTCAACGCCGGTACGAAGCCTGCGCGGAGCAGAGCAGAGCGGAGAAAAGCCGGACAGCCACACCGTACCGCGCGCGCGGCACACTCGCCCCAAATCCCCAAGAGCGAGGTCGCGCGCGAGACGGGGGGCGTGTGGGTGTGTGGCGCACCCGCCCGGCTTTGAAAGAGCTGAGTAAGAATATGACATTGAACTGACCAACCAAGCGAGGCGCATTAGAAAATTTCTAGACTTGGATTGAGCAGGGAAGTAGAAGAAGGAGAAAAACAGCTGGATTCTGGACAGCTTGGGGATGAACAGATAGGATCTCTATCTTTTGACATTAAGATAATGCATCGTAAAGGCTAAGATTGTGTGAATGTGCAATACGGCAAAGCTCATAAGTGACAAATCTGACCGCTCCAATTCGTCCCAACGCCACATTTTGGCCCGCGCGTCTAGGGTCTTACCACCCGCGCGGTGTACTTCCTCGCAGCCCCTCCCCTCCAGGGTCCAAAGCAGTGACAATTGTCCGATCTGACGGCTGCTCTTCGTTGACCGAGAGGGACCGACCATTTCTGGAAACAGCTTAGCATACCCGCCGCGTGGGCGAACTGGGGGCAAAGGTAAGGGTTCGTCTTTCTTCGGGTCGCTGTTAAAAAGTTGGAGGCCGGCGCGTCTCTTCTTATGTTGTCATTCTTTCTCTTAGACTTTTCCCTCCAACAAGACATGAAAGCGGCTGCTGCCCTGTCCAAGAGGATTTTGTCGAATACTCGTCGCATAGGTCATCCCAACCTTGGCTACAACAGCAACCCCGGACGACTCTGCTCTGCCCTACGCAAATTGTGGCCGCCGTCTAGCTTGATTCCAGATATCCGCAAGTCGTACTTCACAATGTCGTCGAGCGCCGCGGAGCAACAGCCCCAAGAGGCTGCCGCCACTGTTACACCAAAAGCAGAAGAGACTCCCGCCGCTGCGCCGGCAGAGCCTGCGCTGGCCCCGTTGTCGCCGGCCGAGTTTAGAGTGTACAACCAGATGGCGGAGAAGATGGATTACTTTGTGAGTCGAAAGCGAAAACCCGCACAAATCCTTTCCGTTCCCTTTGTTTGGAGCTTCATGGTGCCCCGCCACCGTCGACCCCGCCATCACCAAGTTTCTTTACTTTCCCAGTCCACATCCTCATCCCGTCATAAACATGCGCTGACCACAACGCTACACAGCACAACCACTTCCGCGCACAATGGACAATCCTCCACGACGCCGCGACCTCGGGCCGGCGCCCGCGCAACATGTCCCTAAAACAATTCATCGACACGGGGCTGCAGTTCGCGCAGCACCTGACGGCGCACCACGGGATCGAGGAGCGCTTCGTGTTCCCGATGCTGGCGCGGCGCATGCCCGAGTTCCGCGCGGGGCGCAACGCGGACGCGCTGCTGCAGCAGCACCGGGCGATCCACAAGGGCATGGACCAGTTCGAGGCCTACTTAAAAGCGTGCCGCGCGCGCGAGACGGAGCTGGAGCTGGGCGTGCTGCGGGAGAAGATGGACAGCTGGGGCGAGGTGCTGTGGACGCACCTGGACCAGGAGGTCAAGACGCTGGGCGCGGAGAATATGAGGCGGTATTGGACGATGGAGGAGGTGAGGAGCATGCCCATGTGAGCGAGCGCGTGGGTGTTGGAGGAGATGAAGAGCATAGCGTGGTGTTGGGTAGGAAAGAAGGAAGAGAAAATTGTCATGAACATATCTGAGAACTCGTGTTTACTTCCGGCGGGCGGTGTTCTGGCGGCACCGCGCGGATGATATCTAAATGGTAAGAAAATTAAAGTCACTGCATGGCCACATACCCGCATGGCCTCGTCTATCATTCTTGTAATGTACCTTTCCTTCCATATCCCATCTAAGAACCTTCTCTTGCTCCGTATCATATCCCCTTCTCCTTTTACGCGTTCGCAGTCTCCTTCCAAAGCTGCCGCATCTGCACGATACCAGGGATGCTCCCCAGCAGCCCGATGCCCATCTCCGGCACGAAGCCCTTGTCCATGCTCCAGTGCACCGTGAGCGGGAACCACGCGGCCTGCCTCGCGAGGGTGCGCGACCACACGCCGAGCTCGTCCTGGTACTCGGCGCTCGCGACGTCGACCTTGCCCTCGCGCAGGGCCTTTCTGCGGCGCAGGTACTCGACCGCCAGGCGGCCGAGCTCGCTGCCGACGTAGCAGGACCAGAAGCGCACGCTCCAGCGGGCGGCGAAGCCCTGGCGCGCGGGGGACATGGGCAGGACGCCCTTGGAGGCGAGGTAGGAGGCGCTCTCGAGGGACTGGAGGAGGATGCAGACGGTGACCTGGAACCAGGAGATGAGGCGGTCGAGGGCGGCGCCGGAGGCCTCGTCTTTGGCCTTCTCGTCTGCGGTTTTGGCGGTGAAGGACGTCTTCATGAGGCGGCGCAGCCAGAGGTACATGGGCAGCAGGGCCCAGAGGCGGGTGATTGTGCGGGCCTCGGAGGTGAGGGTCGCGAGGGCGCGGAGGTGGCCGGCGGTCTGCTGGGCGAGGGAGGCGGCGGGGGAGGACGGGGGCGCGGTGGAGAGGAGGATGGTGGCGTCCTTGGGGAGGGAGAAGGCGAGGGAGACGAGGCGGCGGGCGGAGCGGCGCAGGGAGGAGGTGTAGAGGGACTCGAGGGCGGAGGCGGAGAAGCGGGAGGTGTAGCAGAGGAAGCAGAGGATGGCGTCGATGCCAGAGGGGGTCGCGAAGCAGCGGGTGAGGTGGGCGACGAAGGCGTCGACGTTGGAGGGCGAGAGGGCGAGGAGGACGCGCAGGGGCAGCTGGGGCGGGCGCGGTTGAGGCTGTTTTGAGGATGCGGCGGCCGGCGCGGGAGGAGGGACGATCGGGTCGCCGGAGGGGAGGTCGGAGACGACGGGCGCCTGGTCTGCGGTTTCTGTTTCTGTCGACATGGTTGCGGTGGTGATGGCCGTCGACGGCAGACACCTCTCTCTGTCTCTTTCTGTGTGGTGGTGTGTGTGTGAGGATTGAAGGTTGAGGGAGAAAAGAGGAGAGAAGAAAAGAAAAAAAAGAGCTCAATGCTGGGATGTTTCCAGGGTTTGTGGAAAGCTTTTGGAGCTCGGTGTCGGTGGTAAAAAAGCTTTGGCCCGAGGATCGGAAGACGAGGAGGGATTGTGGGCTCTCGTTCGACGTTTCGATGGATATCGATAGCTTTGGGGAGCAAGCACACGACGTAAGGTGTGGAGGTCGTCGGTGTGAGGCCGAAAATTGACGCAATTCTGGGGGAAGACGTTGTCGCCGGTGCGAGTTTCTGTCGTTGAAAAGAGAAGGAGAGACAGCTGCTCTTTTTTTGGGTGGACCTCAGAGAACAGAAAAAACAAAGCTTTGCTGCAGAAAGGAATTCAACCGTTGTTCAAATTAGCCATGTTCATGCGCCGAGGTGGATGCCGCCGATTGACTGGGCTTCGACGGGGAGTGACCAGCCAGCAGGTGTCGCCGTGTCGGTAAAGATGCACGCGGGAGGCTGGGCGAGAGCTGGGTTTAGAAGAGAGTTTCGGCAGGAGCACACCACTGACGGCACAGGTGACACAACTTACAAGCCCGCAGCTGCAGCGGCGCCCTCCGTTTTTACCGATGTGCCGCGGCGTGTGCCGTGGACCGTACTTACACCCAAGTCGTTAAAAAAAGTGCAGCCAGCGGACGGGATGTGATGGGATGGGATGCAGCGGCAGCGGGAAATCGACCCTCCCACCGTTTCCGTGACCTCGGTACTTTTTACTTTCGGCAACCGCGGCGGGGTCCCCAGATTCAAGACCGTTATCAGATGGAATTTCTGTTGGAGGCTCACCGTGCTGCATCGCCCTAGTTTAGGTTCCTGACGGTTGCTGAACCGGCTTGGAAAGCACTTCAGATTGATTGGCCCAACGAAATAATACAGCTGCATTCACAAATAACTGTCGGGTGACGTCCCGACAATTGAATGAGCGCAAGATGCATTTGCACATGCACTGTGGAAGTCGTCGATTGGACTTGACCGTTTCCCCCGTGAATAATTATCTTATCCATCCATCTAATCGCCGAACATCTCCACTTTGGGAAATATTTTTATTGTGGATTTTGTCCTTTTCAAGGTCGGAAGAGCTCCCGATCCGTGCGAATTCAATTGACAGCTTGTCAACGTTTACATCTGCAGGTTCCATCAGCCCAATCTCTATCCCGAGAGCCTCTCTATCAAACAGAATTGAGTTGAATATCAACTTTGTCAAGTGGGCTGAGTTGGAGGGTTTGAAACTTACTGGGCTCAACTGGGCTCAACTGGGCTCAACTGGGCTCTAGGTCTTTCTCCGCCAGAAAGGCATTTTCATGGCCAGTTGAAGATCGCGTACATCAAGATCAATGTCCCAAAAAGAAAAAAAAAAGTGCAGGGCGTAAAGAACGTCCATATGGAAAGGAGCCTACGTGCTACCCCTGATCCACTAACCGTTACCCCTTGGTGTACTTAGTGAGGATTGCTCTTCTAGCCAAGAAGATCTCTTTTATTTAGCCCTTAATCCATGAGAGCAATAAGAGCACTTCAAGTTATAAGAGTTTTAGTTACGAGGGATTTAGTTGTTTAGTTCCAAGTGCTTTAGGTATTAGTGGCTTGGGTAATGACTCTGGTTATTCCACTGAGTGCGAGTTAACGCAAAGAAAACACACAAGAA